TATATATATATATATATATATATATATATATATATATATACACACATTAATCTACTCCAGTTCTGCATCAAGTTATAGAATGCTAAATTCAACTACATGTTTGGGAGTGAGCTAGCTAGTTTACATAACCCTTGTCATTAATTCAAAATCAACAAATTATGCATGTATAAAGCATGCCTGTTCCATATTCATTTATTAAGGCTCTATATTATGTAATGAAGGACTAACCAGTAATTAATAACATATTTCTTGCAGAGAAACGGTGAACAAATTGATTGGAGTGAAGTAGGGTATCAAACTTATGAGTTAGCTGAACAATGTGTGGAAACAAACTTCTATGGTGTGGAAAGGGTAACTGAAGCTCTTGTTCCCCTTCTCCAGCTATCCATTTCTCCAAGAATTATCAACATTTCCTCCAGAGCAGGGCTCTTGAAGGTACATTTAGGATTGATAACTTATTAATAAAATAGTTTCAGTGGTAACAACCCTTTTAAGATTGATAATTTATAGTCATATAATAATGTCAAAGCTCAATTAGTTTTGGTTTATATTTCTTCTGATATCTGCCTATGTTTTTTTATATGAAATAAAATGATTAAATACTCAATTTGATCCTTAAATTTGGAACACACTGTCATATTAATCCTTAAAATTAAGAAACTATAAAATATGTTTCCAAAAGTACAAATTGATAATCACATTAGTTTAAAATTAAAAAAATCATGTGACTATAGTAATAATATTGATATATACTAATCAAGGACTAAAACGATAATAAATATTTCAATTTAAGGATTTATTTGACGTTATAAGGACTTAGTTGATAATTTTTTAGTTTCAAGGATTAAAATGATGGTATTTTTCAAATTCAGGAATCAAAGTGGGTGATTATTCAAGATATCATAAAAATGTAGTTAAGATGATATTTTTTTTAAAATAAAAATAGATTTAATTAGGATGAACTAACAAGTGTATAGTGGTTTATTTTTTTATTGTTCAAATAAACAGAATATAAATTGTAAAGTGACATGTGATAGAGCATTTTAAGTTAAGATGATGTGTTATTAATTTTTGTTCTTTGATTGTTTCAGAATATACCAAATGAGTGGGCTAGAAGAATGTTCAGTGACATTGAAAACCTTACAAGAGAAAAAATTGATGGGGTACTTAAAGAGTTTCAGAAAGATTTCAAAGAGGGGTCATTGGAGAACAAAGGTTGGCCAGCTTTTGCTTCTGCTTACACAATGTCAAAAGCGGCTTTGAATGCTTACACGAGGGTAATGGCCAAGAAATACCCTCATTTTCACATAAACTCTGTGTGCCCTGGCTTTGTCAAGACTGATATGAACAACAACACTGGACAATTAAGCATTGATGAAGGAACTCAAACTCCTTTGATGTTGGCACTGATGCCAAATAGTGTTCCTTCTGGATGTTTCTTTAATCAGGGAGAAGTAATACCCTTTTGATCACTGAATTTGAATATCCGATTGTTCAGATAAAATTTCTGATTAAGTAGCTAGCCGTGAAGATATTAAATTCTATAAATTAAGGTTGTTTTGTACACCAAATTTATGTAGGTTATGTTTCTGCTGCTAAGAAGTTTGTGGCATGTGTGAGGAATAAAACTTGTATGTCTTTTGGGCTTTGACTTTCTACAATACACTCCAGAAAATGGAATGAATCAAGAAAAATTTCTCTGCTTTGAATTTTATTATTATTCATAGTAGACATTAATTAGTTTTTTCTTTGACAGATTAGTTTATAAGACTTGATGACCCGGTTTTCTGTGTAAAGGGTTAGTATCCTTATAGTTATACTTCACTAATATAATTTTATACACACATCGAAAATCATTTATGTCTCCATCTAAAAGCATTTGAGAGCTACCTGAAAAACTCTGTAGCTATATCTATCTATATATATATTAAAGAATACCATTTTATGTATCTTTAACTCAAATTTAAAGTCACATGAAATTTTCTTTAAATTTGACTTAAAAATTTAGTTAATTAATTTATTAATACCTTTTTAAAAATTTTCATTTTCTTGACCTTTCAATGTTTATAATTAATCTATTTTTTAAAAACAATATATAATTTTTAAATGAATTATCTCATATTTTGAATGTTAAATTATCTCATAATTGGTTGCATCCATATTGGCCTGTGGTTAATTTCATTCTACATTGACAACCTAAGGATTGGAAAACTAGATTTGTTCATATTTTGAGAGAAGCCAATATGGTGGCAGATTGACTAGCTTCTCAAGCTCATGAGCATCCACTTGGATACCATATTTTATCTAATCAAACAGATGGCTGTGATTATCTGTTGCTTAGAGATGTAATGGGATTTTCTTTGGCATGTAGCATTCCTATGTAATCTCTTTGACTGCACTTTGATTTAAACATTATGAAAATTTTTCTTAATTTTTAAAACAAATAGAATTAAAAAGTTCAATAATTGTTATTAAATCCTAAAATTATATTTTATGGAATATATTCATCATTAATAGAGGAAATAAAAACACACCATATAATATAAACAATAATGGTTTTAACTTATCTAAAAAATTTGTCATGTTTTACGGCATCAATTCTTAATAAATTATAAAAATACAATTTATTACTTAATTATATTGATCATAAATAGATAAAAATATAAATATAAATCAATATAATATTGAAGGTTTGGTTTGGAAATCAATATAATCTTAGTACTTACTACTTTGTCTTATTTATATATTTGGTTATCTTTCAATTTATTCATACAAGTTTTAATGAAAAGAATAATGAATAATATTTATTTGCATTATTTTTGTTTAATTAATTAATTAATAATATAAGGTTGAACATCTGTTTAATTTAATTTAATTTGTTCTTATAGCACATATTATTAATCAATATTTTAGCGAAGGTGAATAAATATAAATTATTTTGTTAATATATATATATATATATAT